TATTCCAAATATGGCAGTTTGTCTTTTAGGACACGGATAAGTACTATACCTACGTCGCACAAAGTTTTTTTTTTCTTTTCCCCTTTTGCTTTTCTTTTGGGGTTCTTGCATTGCCTTTTTTTTGTAGTATCCACTTGTGTAAATATTTTAAATTGACGATCGAATTAGTTCATTGTATTCATATAAAGTTAAAGAGTGTATCTATAAAAAATCATCAAAATCGGAGTTAAAATAACCGTTAAATCGTGATTTTTTGTTTATAGCCGTCGAAAAGGTTTGTCCCGTTATTTGATATCTGAATGTTTGTTTTTTGTGATTTTTGGCGTATGCAATCTCGAAGCATATGCAAACAAGTTTGACGGTTGGATCGTTGAAACTAGTTTCGTACAATACGTTTCCCATCAAAATGATACATTTACTAACACTTCGAGTTTTATTTATACTTTCATTAAGTATAACATAAGATTTTGTGGTATCCACTAGTGTAAATATTTTAAATTGATGATCGAATTAGTTTATTATGGTATATATATATTTACTAAGTAGATTTTAATTTATTTATTTTGTACTTATAAGCAAAAGGGAAGAAGGAAAAGGGGCAAAAAAACAAAAAAACACTTTGCGCAACGTAGGTACACCTGCGTCGCGCAAAACAGCTTTGCGCGACGAAGACCTACGTCGCGCAAAATGTTTTTTTTTTTTTTTTTTTTTTGCCCTTTTCCTTTTCTTTTGAGGTTCTTGCATTGCCTTTTCTTTTCTGGTATTCACTTGTGTAAATATTTTAAATTGACGATTGAATTAGTTCATTGTATTCATATAGGGTTAAAGAGTGTATCTATAAAAAATCATCAAAATCGGAGTTAAAATAACAGTTAAATCGTGATTTTTCGTTTATAGCCGTCGAAAAGGTTTGTCCCGTTACTTGATATCTGAATGTTTGTTTTTTGCAATTTTTGGCGTATGCAATCTCGAAGCATATGCAAACAAGTTTGACGGTTTGATTGTTGAAACTAGTTTCGTACAATACGTTTCCCATTAAAACGATACATTCACTCGAGTTTTATTTATACTTTCATTAAGTATAACATAAGATTTTGTGGTATCCACTAATATAAATATTTTAAATTGACGATTGAATTAGTTTATTATGGTATATATATATATATATATATATATATATATATATATATATATATATATATATATATTATATATATTTACTAAGTAGATTTTAATTTATTTATTTTGTACTCATAAGCAAAAGGGAAGAAGAAGGAAAAGGGGCAAAAAAAAAAAAACACTTTGCGCAACGTAGGTACACTTGCGTCGCGCAAAACAGCTTTGCGCAACGAAGACCTACGTCGCGCAAAGTTTTTTTTTTTTGGCCCTTTTCCTTTTCTTTTGGGGTTCTTGCATTGCCTTTTCTTTTCTGGTATCCACTTGTGTAAATATTTTAAATTGACAATCGAATTAGTTCATTGAAAAGGTTTGTCCCGTTAAATCGTGATTTTTCGTTTATAGCCATCGAAAAGGTTTGTCCCGTTACTTGATATCTGAATGTTTGTTTTTTTTTTTTGGCATATGCAATCTCGAAGAATATACAAACAAGTTTGACGGTTGGATCGTTGAAACTAGTTTCGTACAATGTGTTTCTCATCAAAACCATAGATTCACTAACACTTGGAGTTTGTTTATACTTTTATTAAGTATAACATATGATTTTGTGATATCCACTTGTGTAAATGTTTTTAATTGACGATCGAATTAGTTCATTATATTCATATAGGGTCAAGGAGTGTAGCTATTAAAAATCATCAAAATCGGAGTTAAAACTACCGTTAAATCGTGATTTTTCGTTGATAACCGTCAAAAATATTTGTCCTGTTACTTGATATCTGAATGTTTGTTTTTTGCGGTTTTTGGCGTATGTGATCTCGAAACATATACAAACAAGTTTGACGGTTGGATCGTTGAAACTAGTTTCGTACAATGCATTTCCCATCAAAACAATAGATTCACTAATACTTGGAGTTTATTTATACTTTCATTAAGTATAACATAAGATTTTGTGGTATCAACTTGTGTGAACGTTTTAAATTGACGATCGAATTAGTTCATTATATTCATATAGGGTCAAGGAGTGTAGCTATTAAAAATCATCAAAATCGGAGTTAAAACTACCGTTAAATCATGATTTTTCGTTGATAACCGTCAACAATGTTTGTCCTGTTACTTGATATCTGAATGTTTGTTTTTTGCGATTTTTGGCGTATGTGATCTCGAAACATATACAAACAAGTTTGACGGTTGGATCGTTTGAAACTAGTTTCGTACAATGCGTTTCCCATCAAAACAATAGATTCACTAATACTTGGAGTTTATTTATACTTTCATTAAGTATAACATAAGATTTTGTGGTATCAACTTGTGTGAACGTTTTTAAATTGACGATCGAATTAGTTTCATTATATTCATATAGGGTCAAGGAGTGTAGCTATTTAAAAATCATCAAAATCGGAGTTAAAAACTACCGTTAAATCGTGATTTTTCGTTGATAACCGTCAACAATGTTTGTCCTGTTACTTGATATCTGAATGTTTGTTTTTTGCGATTTTTGGCGTATGTGATCTCGAAACATATACAAACAAGTTTGACGGTTGGATCGTTGAAACTAGTTTCGTACAATGCGTTTCCCATCAAAACAATAGATTCACTAATACTTGGAGTTTATTTATACTTTCATTAAGTATAACATAAGATTTTGTGGTATCAACTTGTGTGAACGTTTTAAATTGACGATCGAATTAGTTCATTATATTCATATAGGGTCAAGGAGTGTAGCTATTAAAAAATCATCAAAATCGGAGTTAAAACTACCGTTAAATCGTGATTTTTCGTTGATAACCGTCAACAATGTTTGTTCTGTTACTTGATATCTGAATGTTTGTTTTTTGCGATTTTTGGCGTATGTGATCTCGAAACATATACAAACAAGTTTGACGGTTGGATCGTTGAAACTAGTTTCGTACAATGCGTTTCCCATCAAAACAATAGATTCACTAATACTTGGAGTTTATTTATACTTTCATTAAGTATAACATAAGATTTTGTGGTATCAACTTGTGTGAACGTTTTAAATTGACAATCGAATTAGTTCATTATATTCATATAGGGTCAATGAGTGTAGCTGTGAAAAAATCATCAAAATCGGAGTTAAAATAGTCGTTAAATCGAGATTTTTTATGTATAATCATTGAAAGGGTTTGCCCGTTATTTTGTACGTATAACACTTAAGAAATTGAATGGTAAGTATATTTGTTAAGTAGCTTTAAATTTATTATTATAATTCGGATCGGATTTTTGTTAGAAAAATATATTATTGTGGGCTTTATGTTAAAAAAATTGAATTTAAAAGGAATAAAGTCACATTTTCAGTATTTAAAAAAAAATATATATATAACTTGCGCGACGCCACAATTAGGTCGTCGGGCAAAAACACTTTGCGCGACGTCATGATGTATACCTACGTCGCGCAATCTATCAAAATTTTGGCGGCATTATTTTCGTTAATAGGCGCTTTTTTTTTAAAATTATTCCAATTTTTCCGGTCTCTCTTCCCTCTCTTACTCGATCTCTCTCGTGCCTCTCTCTCACTCTGTCTCTCTCTTCCTTCCTCCGACTGCACCCAGCCTCCTCCTCATCCTTCCTTCCTCCCGTCTGCACCCACCCAGCCAGCATCCTCATCATCCTTCCTTCCTTCCGACTGCACCCAGCCAGTACTTATCTTTGCTTAATTCTGTATTTTGCCTGTCTCTCTTCCCTCTCTTACTCGGTCTCACTCGTCTCTCTCTCTCTCACTCCGTCTCTCTCTCTTCCTTCCTCCGACTGCACCCACCCACCCAGCCTCCTCCTCATCCTTCCTTCCTCCCGTCTGCACCCACCCAGCCAACATCCTCTTCATCCTTCCTTCCTTCCTTTCGATTGCACCGAGCCAATACCTATCTTTGCTTAATTCTGTATTTTTCTTCTTTCTAATGTCTTAATTTGAAGATTTTGGTATTGTAATTAGATTCAATTAGGAAAATTAAAATAGAAATTGTGGGTTTTAGTGTTAAATCGAATTTTAGGGTTAAATTGGGGGTTTTAGTGTTGAATCGAATTTGAGTTATTTTTGTATGTTTTTGTTGGAATTATTTTAGTTTAGCTCACATGTACTGCTTTCTTTCGTTCTTGCAGCTGATTAGTATTGTGTTAAAGCTTGTATAATTACTAGCTCTGGGAAATTAATGGTTATTAGGTGATGGATTTTTCTCATATGATCACAACTAACTAGTTGCATTGCATAGAACAACTTTCCATGAAATTAATGATTATTAGGTGTGGACTATACTATAGTCCACAGGCATCCTTCTGTTTCAATCCACAGTTGCTTCTGTTTGTAGCTAGGACCCTGTCCTGAAACCAAAATAGAAATTGTTCAGAATTTACATGTTCTTTAAGTTGTTTAGATGACTTTATTTGCAGATAATTTGATGCAAACAAGGTTTTTGTATTCTTTGCAGAACATATCATTCAGTGATCAGAACATATAATTCAAAATTTGAAACCCCTGATTTTGCACTTAATGGCAATGCTATCATTATCACAAGCTAACTTCATATCAGTTACATGTCATATATAATTTTGGCTACATTCTTAGGTTTTCCTTTTGTCTTCCCTTGTATTAGATTACGTGCATGCAGATTTTGATACCTATGTTCTAGGTTCTGATACGCTATTGTCTTTTCTGAACGAGTAACTGCCAAATGAAAGTATATTGAACTATTCATGAAGAACCATGTAGTTTAGTTCAATCTTTCGAGTTGATCTAGCTGATAGGGAGGGGTCTTACGCTGCTAATGTTGAATATTTGATTTTAATTACGAATTACGATTGAAGTTTGTGTTCTGAACAGCTAACCAAAGTTCTTCCAATTTTGACCTTCCCAATTTACCAGGCTGCTGCATATTACTATCATGGTTTGATCCTTGATGAGGGTAACACTGAAAAATTTCATGGGATGGCTGTAGCTGCTTTGCAAGCAGCAGATGAGTATTTCAAAGAAAGTAAGAAGGCATGCGAAGCATTTAACGCTGCTCCCCCTTTGTCAAGGTAGGTAGAGGCTGTATTTGCGTATTCATTTTGCTGATTTCATTGGCTGACATCTAGCAGATTATCTGCCTGTTTTTTCTAGGGGCAATAAAGTATATGTTGTAGCCGTAATATCTTTATCCTCTCTCCCTATCTCCAAGAACGTCAAACACAAACACGTACAAGGAACGAACATAAAATTGTCTTTAGTATGAGATTTGCAACCTTAGGCCATTAAGATGGAGTTCAGTTTCTACGAGAACTCTTCCTAAGAAAACTGTCTCCTAAATTATCTACTCTAGAGTCTAGTCCAATCTCTAGATATTAGCAAAGATTATTCTACAGGCCCTTCTTGAAATTTGTCGTGTTGTGAAGATCTACCGTCTCGTATGTAGCATTGGATGTTTCATGATTGAAATGTCCATTAGCTGATCAGTTTTCTTCTTCTTGTCAATCTTTCTTCTTTTAATGGTTAAGTGCTTTTTTATACACATTATGCAGAAATCCACCGCTCTGGGGAACCATGAAGTATCTATCTGAGAAAATTCCAAAAGATGCTTCAAGCAAAGTGCGGATAAAACGTGATCTGTACTCACACGAAAAGTATGTCCTACCTGAGAGAACTATTACCAATAGTATTTTGTTTATGCCTAAATGCAATCTCCTTTTCACTCTTGGCACCCCTAATTGCAATCTCAATGTTCTTGGTTGATGATACATAGAACAAATCCTCGGGAATGATTAACGTGTGTTTTTGGATATTTCAACTGCAGAATCATGGAGATAGCACCAACATTGCCCAATTTCGCATTGGCCTTGAAACCAGAGAAATTCCAACGTCCTCCAGTAGACCCCTCTTGGAACATGGAGCACATGAATAAGGGCACCAACCAGCTTAGGAATGACAAAATATAAGCAATACATGAGTGTAGTTTTCTGCATTCGATTAGGCCCCATGTTGTAGTTTTTTCTTTTTTGTTTGGACATCTTGTATGTACATTTTCATATATTTCATAATTAAATACTTTTTTTTGGTTTATTAATTATTGTTTAGAATTTAATTACAATATTTATTAAAAAAAAAACAAATATTTTTACAAAAAAAAAAAAAGGGTTTGCGCGACGAAGAAGTTACCTGCGTCGTGCAAAGTGGGTTTGCGTGACGCAGAACCTGCGTCGTGCAAACCCACTTTGCGCGACGAAAGACCTGCGTTGCGCAAACCCACTTTGCGTGACTCAGGTAACTTCTTCGTCGCGCAAAGTGGGTTTGCGCGACGTAGGTAACTTCTTTGTCGCGCAAACCCTTCTGTCGCTGCCTTGGCGCGACGGTTGGTGCGCGACGAAGGTTCGTTGCGCTAATTTTTGCGCAACGTTTTTTTGACTTTGCGCGACGAAGCACCTGCGTCGCGCAAAGTGTTTTTTTTACTAGTGCGATCCCCATCCACCACCAGTCTCCTCTCCACGATCAACACATGTCCCCTCTCCAGGACCACCACCTGGTTTACTTCTCTCCACCACCACTTAATCCCCTAAGTTCTAAATTTATGTAAGTTTTCTATTTTCGTCTAAATTAATCATATAGGATATTAAATTCCTAATAAATTATAGTTATTGTTAATTTGTAATGATTTTTTTATGGAAAAATTAGTATCCGGTCCCTAGTTTTTATTGTTCATTGACTAAGACCTTATTAGTTCTCAAATTTTGATTCAAGTCCCTAGCATTAATGTGATAATGAATTTACTTGTTTATTATATAATTTTTTAATATAAAAATTAGTAATTAATTTAGGGTTTAATACTCACACCTCTATTAAACTTTTAATTAATTTTCAATTCAAACATTTCCAAAATAATAAAAAATTAAATTAAATTAAGTTTGTACCTATTAGTTTTTTTTTTATATATAAAAAGATTCTCAATTTTTTTAATCTTAAATGTACCCATTCTCAAATATATCAATTTGTTATATGTAAAATGTACCCTTTTTTTAATATAAAATCCATTCAAATTTTTTAATCCATGTTTAAACTTATATGGGTACATTCTTTTTCGTTGATTTGAGAATGTATCCATGTTTTGGTACAATAACTTTTTTTGTTAATTTTGGTTAATGTACCCATACATATATGTATATATACACACACACAATGTAATAAAGAGTATAATTTATATTTTATTATTTTTAATCCCATAAATTATGGGTTTTATTTAAAATCTCATTAATATAAACAATTACAAATTTCAATTTTTAATTTTTAATTAAAAAAATATAGTAACTTACATTATTACATTAATGTTAGGGACCTCAATCAAAAACTAAAAACTAATAAGGTTTCAATAAAAGAATATTGATAGCTAGGGACCGCATCCATATATGTATATATGTATATATATATATATATATATATATATATATATATATATATATATATATATGTACCCATACATATATGTATATATATATACACACACACACAATATAATAGAGAGTATAATTTATATTTTATTATTTTTAATCCCTTAAATTATGGGTTTTATTTAAAATCTCATTAATATAAACAATTACAAATTTCAATTTTTAATTTTTAATTAAAAAAATATAGTAACTTACACTATTACATTAATATCAGAGACCTCAATCAAAAACTAAAAACTAACAAGGTTTCAATCAAAAAATATTGATAGCTAGGGACCGCATCCAAAGTGTCCCCTTTTTTATATTGTTTAGGTCATATGTTGGTTAGTTCATATATATATATATATATATATATATATATATATATATAATCAATTGATATGGTTTTTTGTTTTGATTAATTGATATGTGTAGAAATTAGAAATATGGAACGACATTACAAGAGAAAATTATTATCAATTAGTTTAGGCAATCCTATTCCAAACACTTCAACTCCAATTTCGAATAGTTATTCTTCGTTTGTTCCTGATAAGTCTACTCTAATTCCAAATAGCTCCAATAGGATTCCACATAGTTCCACTCGACGACAAAATGAGTTAGAAATTGATTTGGATAATCTTGAAAGAAACCTTAGAAAGAGAATTCCAATGAAGGATTATCCTCCAAATATTCGAGATGTGGTTCGAAGAACATATATATATTGATGAGCCTTGTAGACCTAAAAATCATGATTTTCCCATTCACTTTGCATTGGTTGGAATATAATATATCTAAATATGCCACATTTTTCTTTTATTGCTATATATTCAAAATCAAATTTTGAACAATCAGGTTGTGATGTCTTTACTAAGGTAGGCTTTGAAAATTGGAAGCACACAAGAGCATGTTTTGAAAAAATGTTGAACCGGTTGGTAGTTTTCACAATAAAGCTATATAAGTCGCTGATAATCTAATAAATCAAAAGATACGTATAGAAACAATTGTGGTCAAACAATTAAACGAATCTCGTATGACTTATCGGATTTGCTTGAATGTGTCAATCAATTTCACTAAGTTTTTGTTGCAAGGAGGTCTTTCCTTTTGGGGTCATGATGAAAGTGACACTTCAAGTAATAGAGGAAACTATTTGGAGCTCTTACAATTCATTGCGGCTCATGATGATAAAGTAAAGGTCATTGTGCCAAAAAAAGTTTCGGGAATTCTCAAGGTAATAGCTTCTTCAATTCAAATATTTAGGTCTTATTGAAACTATATCAAGGTTATCATAAGTGATACAAAGAATGCTAGGTTCTTTTCTTTATTGGTGGATGAGGCACGTGATGTATCTACAAAGGAGCAAATGGCTGGTAATTTTGCGTTATGTGGACAAAAAATGGCCATGTCATTGAAGGGTTTGTAGGAGTTACTTACACCACTTCAAATACACTAAACGAATCTATTGATGCATTCTTTAATTTCAATGAGTTGAGCTTCTCTAGTAATATGAAAAGCGAGTTCAATTGCCTTAAGACAGAGATTTTGAATGAACAACCTGGAGCTCTTTTTGGTTGTCACTTATTCCCAACTTATTGAGTTAAATGATCGTTTCAATGAGACAAGCACCAAATTGTTCATTTATTTGGCTAGTTTGAGTCCAAATGATTTTTTTTGTAGATATTGACAAAGAAAAACTACTTCGTCTTGCTCAATTGTATCCACAAATGTTTACGGAACAAGACCTAACAGCACTTGAAGGTCAACTTGACATTTATATTCATTTTATGCGTTCAAGAAGTGACTTTTCTCGATCTTGCTAAAAAATGGTGGGAAAAAGGGTTGCATCGAGTACTTTAATATGTTTATTTACTTGTTGCATTAGCTTTGGTTTTACCAGTTACAATTGCTTCAATAGAGAGAGCATTTTTTGCCATGAATAACATTAAATGTCCACCTTTGCAACAAAATGATGAATCAATGGTTAAATGATAGCTTAATTGTTTATATTGAGAAAAAAAAAATCTCTTATATTGACAATGAAACTATCATGACACGTTTTAAGAGTATGAAACCTTGTCGTAGACAACTTTAGTCTTTGTAGCTTGTAATGTTGTTTGTACAAAGATTATGGATGAAAAGTTGGTAGTTTATCAGTTAATTTTTTTAATGTTATTTTCTTCTATTTTTTATTTTTGAAACTTTTATATTAGAATCATCTGATGTTTAAATCCTGGATTTGTCACTAGGTCTTCCCCAATTCTGACCACTTATTTCAATTCTCTCTCTTACTTTTCAACCACATGACCCCTTGTGTATCTGAACTCTAGATGTCGGTTTGGAACCAGGATCCTCTCCTGAGCATTTCCCTAGGGATCCTGCAATCATGTCCGTTCATCGTATATCGTACGGTCAGAAATAATTTAAAATTTAAATTTTAAAATTCAAATATGAATAGTATCTAACGAAAACTGACCGCACGATATAAAATGAACGGACAAGATTGTGGGATCCCTAGGGAACTGCTCAAGAGAGGATCCTGGTTCGTCGGTTTGGCCTTTAAAATATCTTTCTAGACCCCTAGCTTCAATCACCAAAACCATATAGCAAAAGATAATACTAAGGAGATCAAATTTGTAAATAAAATTTGCAAACCAAATGATGTGCCATCAATAATAAATAATCACGGTAGTCGACACTTAAGTAATAATTCAATTATCAACAATCGCATCATTTGATTTACAAAATTTAGTTTAAAAATTAGGTTTCTCTAGCATTATCCTATAACAAGATCTACTTTGGTTTCACACCACATATTTGCTTTGTATGGGTTTTGGGAGCTCACTTTAAGCTCATTTCTTGGAAATATCCGCTTAGAAAGAAAGAAACAAAGAGAAAGCCTTCAAGAGAGTTGGACTAAGATATCTGCTTTAGAGCGCATGCTAGCTTATTTCATCTAGTTTCGGATCCATGACATCTCTCCACCACAAATATTCATTTCATAAGGTTGGGTTGTTATGAACGTAATAACTTGTAAAAATTGAGTCCCATTGTAATATTGCTTCTTGCTAGGGGTGCATGTATTCCGAAGGTTTCCAAATCCAAATATTTATGAAAAGTTTGGATAAAAATTGGAATGCAACTAAATACTTCGAAAATTCTGAATTTCGAAAACTTTCTATATACATTTAGTTGTTACTAATTATATGAACCTTATAACCAGTTTTTATATTTTTATAGTGTTAATTGTTAGTTCATATGTTTTATTTCTTGTTTTATATAGTCAGTCATACTATTATATACTAAAAATAATGAGTGCAAATCATACATGGTATTTTATTTTGTCTAAATGATTTTATTTAGAGTAAATTGTCTTATGGTCCTTGAAATTTACTCAGTTATAGCTTTGTCCCCGAATTAAAATTTTATTAGATTTGGCATTTTATTGAATTCAATTGTAGATTTTATACAGTGGTAAACTTATTTATATACTATTGAGTAATTAGATGTAATGTATACACAAATAAATAGTAAAAATCCAAAAAATAAAAATAAAAATCATTCCCCTGTAGGTACAAAAAGCTTCAAAATTTCTAAAATCTTATAAATGTAGGAAATCTAAATTATATTCCAAACATTCCGAGATAAACTGATTCCAAAAATTTCGATATATCTGATATTCTGAATGTTCCCAAATTGTATATTTCGTGATACGAACTCTTTGGGTTGGAATTGGAATTCTTTTACGAGTAACAAAATTCTTGTTTTAAGTTGCTTGATCTTTTTTTAATTTTATTTTTTATTTTAGTCAAAAGTTGCTTGAACTTTGGTATTACTATAACTTGATTACTTGAAATGTATTCACATAGTTGTTGCTAGAACCACCAAGTCCTCGATTGATAGATTGGCTTGTGTTCGTAGGTCGCCTTATGCAGAAACTGTACTGCACTTACTTGCAGTTTGTGTGAACGTTTTAGTGATCAAAGTGGTTATCTTAGATTTTTTTTTTTAAGTGAATCTATTCATCCTTTAGGCATTACTAGATAACGAAATTTGAAAGACCTAACCATCAAGACAATCTACTACGTACGATATCATCTTTAATGTTCCTATATATATTCTTTAATTTTCTAAGTGGTGTTTCCTAGCTATGTTTTCTTTCAATTTTCTTTCGTATGAATGGGAACAAGCTTTGGAATGACTTCAGAGAGAAATAAATTGTTTTTTCTTTTATTTGTTATATGATATTGAAACTGTGAAATAACATAATTTAGAACATGAATGAATCACAACTTTGAAATATTGAGGTGTGTGTAGAAAATTCTTTCCAATTTTATTTTAATATATAATTCACATACCAACCCATATAGTTATTCCAGTTCAATAATTCACATATAGAGGTTGATCATGTGTTTAATGTTAGCACTACGAGGAAGAAAATAAATACAATTATGCATATAATTGGTATCTAACTTGTGGATGCGAATTTCGATCAAGATTGAATTGACGAAACTTCACTTTACAAAACAAGAAACATTGTTAGCCTAATTAACGAACCTCGAGAAAAAGGGGATAGTGTCTACCAAAGGGCTTCTGATGTCTAAGAGAATAATTTGAGAGAAACTAGAACATAGAGTTTTCAGAGTAATAAGTGGTGATTACCAATTTTCCTGTTAGACTTGCCTATTTACAGGAGATATCACTCACAAATAGCTGGGAAGGGAGGTCGCAGGCAGACCAGTCTATGTGTGAGAAGTCCCTAGGAGGCCTCTAGCAAGTTACGATATACCCTAGACCTAATAACACAAATTACGAGGCCGTGATGTGCTAGTCAACACTAAATTGACTATATGACCCCATATTGAGATGATGTCACAAGCTAACTTAATGACAAAGTCATCGTAAGATATTTATGATGTGCAAGAATTTGAATAAAAATGTTCATTTATAATAAACCAAAGCTGTTGCAAAGTTCAGTTATCAACCTCCCGACTTGGGGACACAAATTTTGAGATTAAATCCCGTTATTATTACATCACATCAGAGCAGCTAGAAGTTTCACACAAAAGTAAACACATAAAAGTGCAGTCCTGTGCATAATCCAAAAGTGCTTTCATGCAATTATTACAGTAGAGATAAATCTGCAATAAATGAACCATCACCCTAAAGCCAAAGGATGAAAGCCTCACTGCCAAACCCCACTCGTCACCACCAGTGTTCTCTTTATTCTCGTTATGTCCTGAAGGGGTCAACAAAACAAAATGTGAATTGACTAGTATTATCACGTCAAAATCATTCAAACATAATAACCCCTGTCTTGAAAACATATATAGTGAAAACTACACACATTGTAATACTACAATAATAGTAGTCAAGATCAACTCAATCTTGCTCGTCATATCAAAGAAAGTGAATGAATCACAAATAAAGTAATGCATAGCAAGCAGGTAAAGCGGCGTCTACCTGATCAATATCTAGTGTCTACTAGCAAATTCTAGCCTCTACTAGAATAGAATGTACCTACAATTAATTCTACGGTTGTAACTAGCTATACGAAATGTATGATAACCACGTGGTGAAAATAAATCACCAATTATCTTAAGATATCATCTAATATAAGTTAAATATAAGTCTCGTCAAAGACTATCGTAAATAATATGCATCCGCATATAAAAGCATATATATGGGATTCAGGATACCCATATTTGGGATCGATCTTTCGCTTCCATCGGAAGCTAGACATGCTTTTATTTTTTATTGTATCGGACTTGGTTGTACTCGGGTTCGTCCCTTTAATTAAGTGTTTTTTTTTTCCAATAAAAAAAATTTATGCCCTCACCAAAATTACACACACTGATTTCCAATTGTTACACTTTCATTGTCTTTTTGCCAAAAGTATGCATGCATGTCAACTCAAGCAGACTGTAAAACTCTCAACACAAGCATTTAACATCAAGCTAAGACAATGAATTACTCACTGTAAACAAGATAATTTGCTATGTGAACTTTACCATCTTTAATTGCAGTATTTCCTCCTTTTAATTATGTCTTCAGCTCTGCTTCCGTCTCCCGCAGCAGGAGCCGGCAGCGCCGCAATACCTACAAAACAGATAAATCAAATAATTAAATAGTCTCAAGTAACCGATTATAATTACGCGAAAATTAAAACAAATGATGGATTGATTCAAACTAAAATTCACATGTAAAGAGTAAGCAACAGAAAGCCCCTGCAAATTACGTTTATGGTGGTGGTTTTGGTTACCTAGAGGTGGTTCGCCAATTTCGTCTGCATTCGTTCATCAACATAGGTCCTTTTATCATTGTTTATTTATTTATATTTAGGGTTTCTAGATGTATGGGACTTCGGATGTCTTATCTGACCTCCATTGTTTTCTAGCTTTTTGTTACTTTGTGGCTGGTCCATTTTGTAAGTCTGGACTTACAGTTATCTTCTTTCCATCAACGAAAGTTTCATCATTGACCAAAAAAACAGACAAAAACTCATGGTAAAAAGGGTTTGGAAATCACTATGTAAAGGCACTACGACACCAAATCCATCACTAGAATAACAAAAACCTACTCCTACAAAGTATGGAAAAATCTCCTAAAACGAAACAAAGACCTTAACAATTAAGAACACAAACTAGGTAAGAATCCTTGATGACTTGGGAAAGTAGCCATCTGATTAGGCATTGCTTTAAACTACCAACGAGAGTTAAACAAGTAACATCCAATCTGTACAGTGAAGAACTCTTCAAAAATGAAAACCATATTATCCAAGCGCCAACAGTTACCAGTAATAATTTTGACCAAAAAAAATGCAGACCATCTTATATGCGCATCACACACTAACACCAAACAAAACTTTTTTTTTTTTTTTCTTTTTGTGGATCCAAGCGATGGATGGTCAATAAATACCCATTTAGTTAAATGGAGGTCCATTTAAGTGTAGATATGTGTTAATTGTGGTGATGAGTGGTGGTATTTGTACTTGTGATGGATGATGATGATGGTAATATATGGAGTATCCATGGGCACCATTGACCATCCCTTGGTAGCAATCTATGTGAAGTGCAAAGCCATTAAATTATATCCAAAAGTTATAAGGCAACTCATATACCTGTTGGAATTTATATATTATAATATTAATATTTATAATATTTAATTCAATATTTGAATGAAAAATACTTTAACCATTTGTATCAAACCGTATTTGTCATTAAGTGGGTGCCATCTTATACAAAGTGGCGCCACATTGAGTATGGACCTTTTAAATGGTGCCATCTAAAAGATGTATGTATGCATCTCTTCGTCAATCAATGCCTTCGGTTTTATTTAACCTCATGAAACCATGGCATTAAGTGATAGAAAATTAGAGTTAATTTTTACTCTTGAGAAATAGGGTTTCCCCACTTTGTTTCTCTCATGCTTCGTGTGTCAAATTCCGAGTCGTGTCTTGAGAGTACGGAATATATGAAGTTCAGTCCGAAGATTGAAGTGCTTTGACTTCGGATTATAGATTGTTGAATCCTGGGAGATGGACACCTACCGAACTACAAGCACAAGAGTAGGGGCGAAATTCTATCTTTAGGACATTGCATTTATGCAAGTCTCAATCTCCAAGTTTGTTAGTATTTCTAACTTTCTCCCTAGTTGTTTATATTAATCTCATATATAATTGATGTTGTGAATTTCTTTATGATTATTATCATTGGAATTCTTTTATATTTTTCATATTTTCTAATATTGCTCCAACAATACCCACCTCTTGGAAGATCTTAGTTGATTGTTAGGCCTGTTTTCTAATTTTCACGCTAGTAGCAAATCTGCACTTCCAGCTAATCATTGTTCCTTCTCCTCCCTTACAGTCCCCAAACTCCTCAGCATACTTCTTCTTCCACAACTCATCATTACTAGCAAGATTTCGCAGCTCCTTACAAACACGACCCACTTTGGCAATAGCAACACCACGCAGTGATTCTAGAATCTTCATTGGAAGGCACATGAGGCTCGATGGGGCGCTCAAACCCACCTTCGTGCAAAGATCAATCAGCAATGGCATTGCGATCCCATCTTTCACAATCCTCCAAAACTCCAAAACTTCCTTTTCTAAAACTAACTCATCTCTCTCATTCATATTTCTGTTTTCCCAAACAGATTCAATCACCGGAGCAAATCTTTTGTTGTCCATACGTAGCCGATAACACGTAGAACCACCACTGGCGAATGACCCATAAACATTCATGAATTGACGCCATTTACGAAACTCCAATACAACTGCTTCAACCCTATTACCGTTATTGCCCTGATGTTGCAGAATCTGAGGCACCGTGTACGAAACCTGATTGGCCCGCATACCCTGAACTAAATCCAACCGAACGAAACCGGAGTCTAAGAGCACAGCGTGTACAGAAATCTCCAAGAGCTTGTGATTGCTACGGTCTTCTCCCAACTCCTCCCTTAGTACCCTCTTCAAGAAAAACGGCACTGAGTACTTCTCCCAAGTTCTCCCACCACTACCAGCAGCAGGCTCATTATTATTTTCCATGCTTTCTGCACCCGAAACCACTAGGGTATGCCTTGGAGATCCGAACCACTGGTGGTGGTTGCCACGATTTGATTGGGGAACTGTGCGGATAAACGTGTAATTGGATGTGAAGGTGAAGCTAGGGTTTGGGAAGATGAACCAAATTCTTATTCGTTATTTGGAACCAAGCCTCTGTTTATAGGATAAGATCATAAACCGCGTCGGCTAAACCCTTGCAGAAGTAGAATTCTATATAATGATTGAAACCCTAACCGACTTTTTTGTTGTTGTTGGCATAAACCCTACCTCCAACCCTAGGGCCTTATTAATCCCTAGGTGGGCCGTGCCTATTGCGAAGTGAATGGCTTTCTCAATCAAGTCTTGGCTCAATTCACACTAGCATATGGCACACACTTTCAATGTGAAATTTTTTATTTTTATTTTTTTTAACAAATAATATTATCGACACTAAGGGATAGAGTGATGGGCTTAGTCTCACAATAGGCTAGTAATAATGTGGTTTAAATTCGCATTTGATAAGAATTGAACCTAAGATCTCTCACTCACAATGAAAAGGAAAGAGAATGGAAAAGAGAGAGAATGTGGGAGTGGGGAGACAGGGGAGAGGGCTTCAATATTTTTTTTATTTTAAAATTAGAGATATGTTAGAATCACATGTATGTGAGGTTTTGAAAAAAGCAACAAAATTTAGTTGTGTGAAATTATATGTCTGCCCATATTTCCTATTCATAGTTAGTTTTAATTAGAGGATTAAAATAGTAGTTTCATAAAGTTTTGGTTGACAATGAGGGTTCTATTAATAATGTAGCTTAGATATCGTCATTCCATCTTCACGTAAGAACCAAAATAATTCATGATGGACAAAATTAGAAACCACTTTTATTCATTTTCATTGTCAGAGACCAAAGTAAGTGATTATATCAATCTCAATGATCATTTTGGCTAAAATCGAAGGGTTGGTTTGACAAAAATACCTTAAAAATGTGACCATGTGGTCCTCAAGTGATAATTTAACAATTATGTTGACACGTTTTTCACAAAATGACCAAAAATAATTTACGGTGAACAAACTTAAGAATGACTTCTATCGATTTTCAATCTCAAAAACCAAATTGATGAGTTATGTAAATTTCACAGATCATTGACTATAATATTCTACCTAGTTCATGTCAAATTTGAATAAAAAATTCGAACTACATGTGTGATGGCCCTTCATTGGCATCAAATCGTGCGAGCCGGCAAAGCGAGCAATATCTTGTTGGGGGTGGGTTGTGACAAGATGTTAATTCGCAACATATGATGACGAACATTGATGCAAAAATTAAGAGACCATTGAAAATGTTATGTACTAGATGCATGATAATGTAGTCATTAGTACAAAAACATGTTTGCGCGACGGAAACTTGTGCGACGCAGACAATTTCGTCGTGCAAAGTATGTTTGCGCGACGCGACGCACAAGACGTTGCGCAAGTAGTCTTTGCACGACGGAACTTTGCGCGACGCACTCCTTCGTCGCTCAAAGTTCCGTCGTGCAAAGACTACTTGCGCAACGTCTTGTACGTCGCGCAAGAGTTTGGCGCCAGACCACGCTTGTTTTACCGCTTTTTTCCAACTTTGCGCGACGCTTGGCTTCGTCGGGCAAAGTCAACACGAAAATCTACATTTTTATCTTTCTTTCCAGTGTTCTAATACAAGTCAAAAGCTCCATAGATGCCTTCCCCTCTTCCTCACCTGCAAACCTCCATAGTCGCCTGATCACACATTCCTTGGAATTATCTTATTCAGTTTTGTAAGGTAAAGGTCCTATCCAGCTGTCCTCACATTCCTTGGAATTATCTTATTCAGTTTTGTGTGTGCTAATTGTGTTCAATTGTAATATTTTTACAGTTTTTATATTCACAATTCTATTTTTAAGGAAGGTGACCACTCGGCATGGAGGCTAGATGTTTCCCCTGTCATTGATACTTCATTGTATCCTCTCCTCACTTTGTTCAAATTGCTGAAAATTCGGCCATATCAAAAGGTAGTACCTACTTATCTTGTGGTAATGTTAGCATTCGACATACAAGTCCACGCATTAGAAACTCTGTTCTTTGTTTGTATGTGATGTACTGATATGTGCTTTTGTATTTTGCTTCATTCAGGCTGAATTCACCCCAGAAGATCTTGATTCCCGAAAACGTCTATTGAACATTGAAGTATGTTTAACCATTCTTTTGTTCATTTCCATTGTTCTCACGTGTTTGAAAATTGGATTTGCTGAATCTCCACTTGTCCATATAATCTTTTCATGTGTGTTTATTACTAAATGTTTTTGGGAGTTGTGACCAAGAAACTATTGTACCAACTACCAGATGAAAGTTTAGATTGTGCTTTGATTATACTTGAACTCATTAACTGAGTGAGGTGATTTAAAAACCTCTATGTTATTCATCCATTTTTATATATGATTGTATTGAAATTTTGGTTGATATTACCCAATATATTGAAAAATTTGATCTTTTTTGTTCTTATCATGCATATATGATTGAGGGTAAATACTCAGTTTGGTAAATACCCAATATATTGAAAAATTTGGTCTCCTATTGATGATGGCAGTGTAGCACAAAGGGACTCTTTCTCTAACGTGAGGGTAAATACACGAAAATCTACATTTCACTATCACTTGAACAAAAAAAATGAACTAAAAAGAGATAAAAAATGATAATTTAGAAAAAATAACCTTGATTAAGTGAATATATAGTCCAAACTAAAAGGGATTATAAAAGATATTTAGAAAGAAAAGAAAAAATTGATAAGTTTCTATCTATAAATATCAAAAAGTTCAGCCACATATTTGCTATAAATATTGGAATGGCACACTATTACAACCAGTCTTGTAACTAGTTTAGTTCGATATATGAAACAAGAAGGGTAGACAAACAGGACACTCTTTGGAAATTTATGAACAATCCTTTCATCTTTACAGTTTATAACATATCATATCATGCCCTCTATGAAGATTTACTGAATCTATTAATGGTGCAAAGGAGCTTTTAATCCTCATGGATAGGAAATTTTTAAAATTAGCATAAAAAAATAAAAGCAAAATTTTAAGGAAGATTGTAAAGATCTAAAATTTCGGTCAAGAGTTTGGTTTTCATTTTAACCTATTTTCTATAGCTATATTATTTCCCCTGATCACATATGAACACCAATTTTGAGCAACTTCAAATTCCTTATACTTGTTATTGTGTACCTTTGTCTGCGTGCTATGCCCTTTTTTGGTCATGTTGGAGTTTTTTGGGATTGAATTTGTAATTGATCTTTATTAATTTTATCTATTTTATTTAGCTTTAGTAATTATTGTGATTTAATACTACTTAACTTTGTACACTTTTTTCAAGAAAAAGCTTAGTTTCCCGTTTGAGAATTAGTTGGATTTCGTGTATGGATGCGAAAGCATGACTGCGGTCCAATTAAATCTTGAATTGTCCCATTTTATGGACAGTTTGGGAATGCATAGTTATGTGTTGTAGTTTGTGGTTCACGATTAGGTTTCAATAGTGGAAATTTTGGTAACATTTCCTGTTGTTCTTCGAGTACACGGTGGATATTATGTATCTACGGCGTGCACTTGAAGAACTGTAAGGAGATGCCGAAATTAGCCCACGTCGAAATTTAATCCATTGAAATCGTAAATTACGACACATAAATGTGCATTCCTGAATGGGATAGGGCCCTTACTGGAGGAATAAGGTGACAATACAGTAGTTGAAGTTGTTGTAACTCTTGTACTTTTATTGGGATTGCAGACAAAATGGACAGACAGTGGATACATAATCATAATAGATGTGATGTTCAGTACTTGGATGGAATAGATAAGTTCACTGAATTCGCAACTAGACATAACCCAGGTTCAACTCATATCTGATGTCTATGTAGAAGGTGTAACAACTCAATGTGGGAGACATTCGAAAATGTTCGATTTCATTTAGTAAGAAATGGGATGATGGAGACCTATACTACTTGATATCATCATGGAGAACGATTAGACCAAGCTTCGTCTTCATACGTGACACAAGTGGAGACTGTTGAATCTAATGTGGATCCTAGTGAACAAGTTACGAATATTGTAAATGACGTTTATCCATACACCTCAAGCAACACCAATGAGGAAGGGGGAGATGATGGTCGTCCAACCATGGACAGTGAGGAATTTAAAAACTATGAAAAACTATTGAAAAATGCCAAGCAAGAATTATATCCGGGTTGCGAGAACTTTTCGGCGCTCTCAGCAATTGTGGAGTTGATGCATGGCAAGATCAAGTTTCGTTTGTCAAACAAGTGTTTTGATTACTTTTTGGGAGTTATCAAGAGGATGCTTCCAAAGGAGAATTGTTTACCTGAAGATCAAAAAAATGCCCAAAAAGTGTTGAAGGGTCTCGGATTGGGGTATGAAAAAATTCACGCATGTGTAAATAATTGTATATTGTTTTATAAGGAGAACAAACAGTTGGATAAATGCCCTATCTGCAATGAGCCGAGGTTTAAAATGACATCACAGAATAGAAAGACCAAGATTCCACAAAAAGTAATGCGTTATCTTCCATTGAAGCCTAGGTTGCAACGATTGTACATGTCGATGCATACGGCAACCGACATGAGATGGCATAAAGAAGGATGGGTAAATGACGATATTATGAGGCATCCTGCAGATGGAGAGGCATGTAAAGAATTCGATCGGATGTACCCTGATTTTGCAGCTGATCTGCGCAACGTCAGATTGGGACTTGCTACCGACGGATTTAATCCGTTTGGGGTTTTAAACCAAAACCACAGCACATGGCCGGTCGTCCTGTTTCCTTATAATCTGCCGCCTTGGAAGTACATGAAAAAAGAATACATGATGTTGACTCTATTAATAAGCGAAGATCTAGGAAAGTCCATTGATGTTTATTTGCGGCCGTTGGTTGATGAGCTAAAAGATTTATGGGAAAACGGTGTTCGTACATACGATAAGTATATTGGGCAGATGTTCACCATGCGAGCGGCAGTGATGTGGATAGTAAATGATTTTCCCGCGTATGCAATGGTTTCTGCGTGGATGACTAAGGGTTATTTGGCATGTCCAATATGCAAGGAGAACGTAAAATCGTCTTGGCATGCGAGAAAAGTTTGTTATCTTGGTCATCGTAGATGGCTCCCTTGGGACAACGAGTGGCGTCAAAATGATAAAGCCTTCCACGGCACAAAAGAGACTCGGCTAAGACCAAGAGAATGGTCTGGAGATGAGATTTTGGATCAGTTAAATCGTTTGGAATTTGGTCATTTCGGCAAAGGGGTCAGTAAGCCCAGACCAACTACACATCTGAACTGGACGCACAAGAGTATGTTATTTGAGCTCCCATATTGGTCAAAGTTTAAAGTGAGACACAACTTAGATGTTATGCATATTGAGAAAAATGTGTTTGATACTTTGGTCGGGAAAATTCTAGACATTAAAGGAAAAACGAAGGACACAATCGAAGCTCGCCTCAATTTGGAACGAATGGGCATTAGGTCATCCTTGTGGATGCAGAGTGTCGGTGGTACATTGAAGAAAGGCCATCCTTTTTTTATAGTTAAGCTGAATGGGAAGAAAGAGTTTTTCAACTTTATTTCTTCTGTAAAGTTTCCAGATGGGTACGCTTCCAATATCTCGCATTGCGTGAATGTGAAGGGGTGTAAATTTTCAAACATCAAGAGTCATGATTGTCATGTGATACTCCAACGCCTTCTTCCGGTTGGTATTCGACACTTATTGCCTCTTGATGTGGTGAAACCAATTGTGTGTTGTCGAGATTTTTTTCGCAGTTAACTGCAAGGTGTTTGCGAAAGTCGGATGTTAAATAATTGCAAGACGACATTGTGAACGTCTTATGCAAATTCGAACAGATATTTCCCCCAGCTTTCTTTACAAGTATGATTCACGTGATGATTCACTTGCCAGATGAGGCATTGCTTGCCGGACCAGTGAACTGTCGATGGATGTATCCAATAGAAAGGTACTTAATTAAGCGTGTATATATATATATATATATATAATAGATTCATGATCAACAAACACTTTGAATAATTTGTAGCATACCTTTTATTTGTGTAGATATATTTGTGAGTTGAAAAAATGTGTTCGAAACAGGGCAAAGCTCGAAGGATCACTGGTGGAGGCATGGGTCGCATATGAGTCACTAACTTTTTGTGCAATGTATCTTAAAGATGTTGAGACAACTTTCAATCGTCCTCAACGCAATGTATCTTAATGATGGTGGTGTCAGAAAAGAGAAACTGTCTGTTTTTGCCCAAATTGCGGGACCATTTGGCGATCCTGTAAAAGGCGAATCGTTTACCAAAAATGACATGGAGGTAGCGTATTGATTCATACTCAACAATTGTGAGGAGGCTTTGCCATACCTTGAAGAGCATGAACAGTTCATGAAGCGGGAACATCCTTCACATTTATATGCCAAGAAGCACCGTGACTTGTTTCCTTCGTGGTTTCATGCACATGTAAGTTGTATGTGGTTTGAATTGAGCATATTTTCCAACTTGTTCATGCCTTTCTTTAAATTCGGTTGCACTAACATGTTAACTTTTTGTATATGTCATATTAGATGAACAAATTGAAGGAATTGAATTCACCCTCTTACGATGAAGAATTATATAACTTGGCGAGAGGACCGCTTCACGTTGAATTGTTCTCGGGTTGTCATGTAAACGGGATCAAGTTCTTGGGGGCAACACGTGATGACAAGTTGTCTACTCCAAATAGTGGTGTTCATGTCCCGGGTGCAGGCGACAGTGAAGACATTAATTTTTATGGCAAACTAACTAGTGTAGTACAATTGCTTTACAAAGATAGGTGTCAAGTGATACTGTTTAAGTGCCTTTGGTTTGATACAAACCCACATAACCGAACAAGTGTTAAGCGAGATCATGGTTTACTATCAGTAAACAGTACGAGACATTGGTACGATGAAGACCCATACATTTTGGCAACTATGGCGAAACAAATATTCTATCTAGACGACCCTAAAGCCGGCAATGGTTGGAAAGTTGTTCAGAAGATTGAGCGAAGAGGGCTATATGATATTCCAGAACTAGATCATGATGACAACGACAACGTCGCTGACCAACAGTTATCATCTTCGATAGAAATTGGTGAAGACACACTCCGAGATACTAATATTGTCCAAGAACCGTTTGACATACCTGGAGTACCCGAATTCGAAATATCAATTGACCTTGGTGATTTGCCTCAATACAATGCACCAAAAGAGGCAAACGAAGATGAGGACGAATGAGAATCCGGAAATGATAGTAGTGAGGATAGCGAGAGTTATTATTGTAGTTCGGATGAGGATTAATATAAACTTGTAAAGGCAAAAGCAGGAGGCTGAGGGTTTAACACCGCTTCTCATCTACCCACACTAATATTCCCAACAAATCGTCTGATCGTCTCCATTCTATAAAGATAAAGATATCATGTAAGTTTTATGTTTTATGTTAGTCTCACGGAAGGTTGTGATCTCTTTTCATTTGAGTTGTTTTTATTACATCTTTGATTACCTACTACCAAAGGTCCGTTTACCTCTCTGTTGGAATTATTGAAATTTATGGATGACCTCTTTGCAGGTTGTGGCCCAAACCATCTGATCATGCTTTGAAGGTATGTGTTTTCTGTTATCACGCTTAAGTGTTAACATAATTTGTTATTTTCTTTTTTTTGTCCGACTACCAACATTTGTGCTGAGATCCTGTGAGTTTTATGTGCATTCATCTTTGACTCAGCCTCAAATGATGGTGGTCTCAGATCTGGATGATGTATTTGTTCCATTGCCAGATGATCTTCTTGTTAATCTATCTGAATCAAGAAGCGTAGTGTAGTCTATGTTTCAAGACAACGTGAATGTGGAGTCTGCTTTTGGTCGAGCTCTTAAAGCCTCGCTTATGCTTATGGAGTGTGAGCTTCTTCACAAATAGCAATTTTAATTTTACCTTTGGATAAAATTTATCACCAATTATAAAAGCAGTGTGTTAAGTTATGTATTCCTTGAGTAATTGACTATTTAGTACTTCATTATGCAGTTCCAAGAGTCTGGTTGTGCATTTACTTTGCATTAACTTATGTCCACGTGTGTGCTTTTGCAGACCAACCTTGGGGGAAAATTGTTAACATTTCCGGAACCCGCAGAGGTGTGAGATGTTGTCTTCTGTCGGATAATTAGTTGCTGAGAGAAGCCATGACCGGAGGTTGCAGCATCAGAGCCATCTGGATCCTCAACAGTCTCGACGCCGTCGTTTTCTCCAGGTCATCTCCGAACACATTCTCACGCTACCCTCTCTCCATATCTATAATGGTCTGATGGAAAAATTGGGGGAAAATGTTACAGAATTTGTGTTGTTTTTGAGATGCTGTTTTTTAGAAAATGTTTGTTCATCGTTGATAGAATTGCTATTGCCCTCATTCTTTGAGATGTCTTTCCCCTCTAATGTAGGGTTGCTTTTCTTTACATGGTCTTGCTGGTTCAGTCTTCTTCTTCACATTTTTTGTTTTTTATTTAAATTTGGTTAACCGCTTTGTAACAAAAGTATTATCGTGAAGCAACAGACGTTTTTAGATTTTTAATGTTAGATGTCGTGCCTTTTTGTGCCCGTGTCGATTATTTTGTGCATTTTACCATATATGTGGTGAATTGCGTATATTTCATAATTAGTTAAACAATGTCATATTCTATGGAGAAAATTAACCATCGTGTTTGGACAGGGAGTGCAACCGTGTACATTCTACCTGCAAAATGGTCAATGCAAGTTTGGATTTTCATGCAAATTTGACCATCGAGTGCAGACCATGAGGTACAACCTCTCAACTTCATCTCTCGTTGATATGCCTGTTGTTCAATATCCGGTTGGGTTTCTGCTGGCCACCCTGGCTCCATCATCCTCATCATTGGATCTCCGGCCTCGAAGGTATTCCTTTACTTGCTCGGTGTTTTAATTTCGCTTCGTTTGAGCTCGATTTGTGCTAATTTCGTAATCTGGGGTTTCTAGGGTTTTGTGTTTGGTTTGGTAATGTGGGGTTATGATTGGGGTTTTGTTCTGGTTTGCGGGGGAATTGTAGAGCAAATGTGGCAATTGGGGCTGACGAGCAGCGAATCGTACCCGGAGAGACCCGGCATGCCCAACTGTGTCTACTACATGCGAACCGGGTTCTGTGGATATGATGGTCGATGCCAGTACAACCATCCTCATGATCGTGGTGCGGTAAGTCCTTGTTCGTTGTAAACTTGCATTGCAATCAGTTAATTAGCTTTTTTCAATACTGCTTAATTGTGGGTTTTGATATGTAAACTAGGATTCAAGCTTTCAGTGATAGGTGACTGCAACAGGATATATGGGTTGTTTTGAATTTTCGTAAGTTTGAGTGTTTTGTTGCAGGTAGTTTTTTTGTCCCTTTACCTGAAACTAGATGATTGTTTGTTTGCTGAGAAGGCTGGGGAAAAGAATGGGACTTTTTTGGAATTTATTCGACATAGTTAAACTAGTCTATATTTAATGAAAATATTAGGCCTAATATTTGTGTTTTGGGCTCGGTGCAGTGGGAAATGTTGCCTTAGTTACAACTGCTTGGATTTTATTGGTAACTGAAATCGTCTTTGCATGTGAATTTTGTTATCTTTTGTTTATGATTTCGGTTTGATGCTGCACGTAGGTCGTGGCAGCTGTAAGAGCTACAGGGGATTACCCAGGGAGAGTGGGGGGAACCTGTATGCCAGGTATGCAATAGTTTTCTGATCTGTAGTAGAATACCCAGTATTATAGTAAAAACTAGAAAGTCCTTTGGTTTTTAGTTACGACTCTGTCAATGGCGGTAGTTGCAACGAGGACCAAAATTTAATGCTGTTTAGTGCAAACACTCATGGTGCTAAATGAGACACATCATTCCTCTTTTTTCTCTTGTATAGTTCTTGTTCAATTATCATGCTAGTTGCGTAATGCGATAGTTGATGTGTACTTGTTACATTCCAAAGATGATTACGATCGTGTGTTAATTGGCTTGTAATGTGATTAGAAATGTTGGTTACCCGGCACTGCTCCAGCTATTCGTAGTCTCTCTCATTTGTCATAGACCCCATAGCTTTCCCTCCATTTTTTGAGAGGGTTCACAGAGAATCTACCCTAGGGTTTTTACAAATTATACTCCCTTGTGAGTTGTGACCGCCAACTTGGCTATTCCCCCATTTGGAGTTGCTCAACTCTTTCCCTCGCGCTAGCAGTCTTCCACATTTGATCTTTAGCATCTTTTGATCCCCTTATCAACACATAATTGACCGCATATTTTGACCTAGAAGCAATTACAAATCAAGATTTTTCTTTGAGCAATTGGTGTATGTTGAGAAATAAGTCTGAGATGGGAATGAGAAATCACATTATACAAGACTTCATCGGGCGGTTATCTTTCCATATTGTAATTGTTTATCTTTGTTTATCTATTTGCTTAACCATATGTTTGATGATGCATTACAACAGGTTGACATTAAAGTATCTCCAGGATCTCATGCAGATGAAGAATCAGGTAATCTCGTTTCCCCTGTTCGAATCAAATAATGACTAAGAAATCTTATCACGATATCGTCTTCTGGAAACGGCTGTTGTGAAGTACCTAAGGAATTGTTGGAATGATTGTAACTTTGTTATGTAGATCTGGAAACTTTTCGGCAACTTTGTTATGTTGTCCATTTATTTGTTTGAGCTTTGAACTTCATATGTGATTGTGGCATTTGTTTGTCTTTTCAAGATGGGAAAATGTTTTTGAGATTTTTGGATGACTGATATCTCTAAATCAGGGATGGGAGGCTTTTGAAGATAGATAGCTTATTGCCTTTGTGCTGTTTGCTGGAGTAATGTCAAAATTTAAACTTTTATGTTGATTATGTGTTTGTGAAATTTCTGCTCCAATTAAAGTTGCCTACTTTTGTCATTGCTTTCACTATACGAGAACATTTCGGTGTGAATTTCATCTGTACTTGCAAACTTATTGATAAGATGTTTGTTATGAAGTATGTGCAATGAAGAGTGCGGTGCCTTGCTTTTCCAAATCTTGTGGGGTTTAAGTAATTCGTTATGTGCACTTGAAGAATAAAAAACTAGTAGCTAGAGTAGAGAGCCGGAGTAGAAAGAATTGCTTTTCTATCCAAGATATTTATAATGTGAGATATTTATAATGGTCTGATGTAAAATTGCAGTTACGAATTGCTTTTCTATCCAAGATATCATCTTGATCAGAGCTCGCTACTTTGTCAAAAACCATTGCTGGCTAAACCAATGGTGATGGATGTCTATCAAGAATATATACTTGTCACATATCGCCCATTTGATGTACACATATTCCATGTCAAGTTATTTGGTGAATTCACTACTCCAAATTTACAGGTAATGGAATGTTTGCTAGCTTTTTTGTAATGATTCTAATTTTATAGAATATGGTACTATTTACAGATAGTTGAGCACTTGTGATTTCATTTGCACGCTAAATGAGAATAATTTAGTGAAAAATATTCTTCATACGTTTTAAGTGATAAAATGACAAATAGCTTTCTACAGTACGAGAACTCTCAATTGTGACTGCAAAGAGCCATGTTGCAGCAATGAGTTTTGTACCTGATCAGCTTCCAAGAGAGGGCATTTCAAACAATCACATTTCTTATTTATCAGGGTGTAATGAATTTACATATTTTTGAATTGCTTTTTAATTATATGAGTCGAGCTTGAAAGAGCTTAAAATGTACAAGCTTGGTAGATAACTTGAGTCGTTTTGAGTATACAATAAATAGCTTAAGTTAACTTGGTAGATAACTTGAGCTATTTTGCGTGACGCACGTGTACCTACGTCGCGCAAGTATTTTTTTTTCTGTTCTTTCATTACCTTTTTCTTTTTTAAGTAAGATGTGTTAAGCTCGACTATTGTAGATGACCAATTGGAACTTTTTCACGTCATTGAAATGTTAATCTTTCAAGTAGCGTCATCTCAAATCTTAGCATCTCCTCCCTGAAGAGGTTCTTATTCCATACCTTTGTTTGATCGGCCTTCACAAACCTCCTGACATTCCACTCCAATCACCAAACAGTATTACTGTAATAACGAAAACTTTAATCGGATACACTACTAATTAAGGCAATCTCCAACTATGGAGGGCTGCATAGGCCTCAAAAAAATATAATTTTTTAAGGAATAATAACAAACTAAATTTATATATTTTCAAACACAAAATATATTCAACATAAAGTATATAACACAAAATCTTCAAAAAAAAAAAATAAAGTATTTATTTTGTACTCATAAGCCCAAAAAAATAAAATAAAATAAAACTTTGCGCGACGTAGGTACATGCGTCGCGCGAAGCTATTTTGCGCAACGCAGGTGCATCTACGTCGCGCAAAGATATTTTGGATCGTTGAAACTAGTTTCGTACAATGCGTATCACATCAAAACATTAGATTCACTAAATTTGAAGTTTATTTATATTGTCATTAAGTATAACATAAGATATTGTGGTATCCACTTGTGTCAATATTTTAAATTGACGATCGAATTAGTTTATTGTATTCATATAGGATTAAGGAGTGTATCTGTAAAAAATCATCAAAATCGGAGTTAAATTAACCGTTAAATTGTGCTTTTTCGTTTATAATCGTCGAAAAATTTTGTCCCGTTACTTGATCTCTATATGTTTGTTTTTTGCGATTTTTGGCTGATGCGATCTCAAAGCATATACAAACAAGTTTGACGGTTGGATCTTTGAAACTAGTTAATTTCATATGATGCTTTTCCCATGAAGTTCAACGGTATATATATTTACTAAGTATATTTTAATTTATTTATTTCGATCTTATAATACTTAAGAAATTGACTGATATATATGAAAAAAAAAATTTATTGTGGGTTTTTGTTAGAAAAATATATTATTGTGGGGGATGTTAAAAAAAATTGAATTTGAAAGGAGGAAAGTCACATTTTCGGTAATTTTTATAATAATTGTTTTTTCCAAATAAATACTTTGCGTGACGCCTTAGTATGATCGTCGTGCAAAACCACTTTGCGCGACGTCTAATTATACACCTACGTCGCGCAAGGTCTGATAATTTTGGCAGTACAATAATGAAAAATAGACGCTTTTTTTTCAATTTTTCCAAATTTTTTCACTTTGCCCTTCTTTATCTCCCTCTTGAACACAGAAACCTCCTACTTCTATTCGAACCTAACCCAACCGTCCCTCTTTATCTCCCTATCTCCTCTTCACAAATCTTGAACCCCAAATCTTTCCTCTTCACAATCTCGAACCCAAACGACATACCTTCACGCAAATCTCGAAGCCGACGCGAATCAAGTCCCAAAATCAAGGTAAGGGTTTCTAATTTTCGATGGGTTTTTGTTATTTAGGGTTTAGGCTCAAATTGCATGTTGATTTCTGAGTATTTTGTTGATGTATGTGTGTTTTGTGATTCTCTTCCTCCGCTGAGAAGTTTGTGAAATCGCACGGGTTGGAACGCCGCTATTGGTTTGGGTATGCTCTCTGTGACTCCACTTTTGCTTGATTCTATTTTCCTTTCTTATTTGGATCAATGGAATTTTGGGTTTTCTTTTTTATGTTTAATTTTCTGTAATTTTATTTGGCTCTGTTTGCGGTTGACGGTAGTTGGAAGAAAAGCATGTAGTTTGTAATCCATTGCAAACCCAGATGGACCGAGGATGTAGAGGAGATTCGGTTCCCTTTTTTTTTATTCTAAAAGCATATTTACTTTTGGTTGTATTGGACTCTCTGAGATTCTTAGGAGAAGAATGTTTGCTTTCAGAATTAGAATTCTGTGATTTATTACAACACTGCCTAGAGCAAGGATGTAAAGCAGATTCACTTTCGTTCTTTTCATAGGCAACACCAAGCTAACTTTTGGTTCTATTGGACTCCCTGGGACCCCTAGGAGAAAAACATTTAGTTTCTGATTGAGTGTTGCTCAATCCATTAGAACACCACCTATAGCGAGGTGTGTCAAATTCAAGCACTTTTGGTCATTTGTTTACAAGAAAATTGTTAGAAAATAAATCTAAATTCAATCTTTTAGACAAGCTTTTGAGTTTGGAGTGCAGGCTAGGTAGCTCAGTGTTTTGCTTTTTGAATTGTTTCGTCCAATGTAGTCCATTTATAAAGTGCAAAATCTCAAGCACAGTTTCTATTTTTTTAAAGAATTATTCTCTGTGGTGTTTCGTTTGAGGACACATGCTTATTCTCAGTGGTATTCTAATTTGTTTAGTTGGCTATAGAATAAGTTCTTTTTTAATCAACTATCCTGAAATTAACTGTCCAACAAGTGATGTATGAAATGAATTGGTGTATTATTTTATATGGAATGACATGAAGACTGAATTGGAGTTATGTAATTTGTGATTTTTGTTGTTCGTCTTGCTGAGATTTTTGTTAATTTTGTACCACTCTGTGTCGCAGCGGTATCACCATTGCCACCCAACAGACCTAATTGGCTGTAGTTCAATTATTGTTCTTGGAAGGAGGTAAAGCTATTATCTTTTTGTACAAAGTGTTGGTTTTTTTTATTTGACTGATATATTTTGTGTTTTTTTATCTGTTGGTTTAGCCTATGTCGAATTCCGCTATGTCTTAATGTTCACTTATGCCTTATAAGTGGTGATTTTTTCAGTGTGACTGTCTATAACATTACATGGTGTTCACACGCCATCGTTTTGTTATTGGTATTGTGTATTCGTTGTTGGGTTTCATTCCGCTTTGATAGTGTTTAATAGATAACACTAAAATTCTGCCAATTATGTTGGTTCACCATAAGTTCTATGCTTTACAATAAACTGAACACTTGCAGTAAAAATGTTGATTATCTTAATTGCAGTGGATTCATGGGTATGCATCGTGTGTGTTCAATACAGAGAGTTTGTTTCTTTTTTGTTTTTCTTTGAGGCACAAAAAAGGCAATCTGCTTTGCCTTTTTTTTTCTTTTTTCTTTTTTCTTTCACTTTTTATTGGTTCAAATAATAAAGTTACGATTGAAAATACCTTATTTTGATTATTCTTCATCAAACTTAACCATGTCAACCCCTCTATTGCTTTTACAATATAAGGTACGTTAGTAGAAGGAATTTTGCCCTCTTTTCTCATTTTTAAACACGTAAAAAGATAATGTCTTTGTGTTTTTTCTTTTTTTTCATTAGCTTTGCACTGAATGGTGTTTTTTCTTTTTTTTTTCCCTTGTTTTGCACTCAAAGGAAAAGAGTGGCTCAGTGATTTGGTTAGCGTTTGAACGCTTATAGGGATCAAATATAGAGTCAAGGGATTTCAATGCAGTGTTTTGGTTTGCTATTAGGTTTAGTTGAAATAGTATTTCTCTTTATCACTGCTGTTTTCTCATTTAGCTACCAGTCTGTTTCTGTGTATCCCAATTTTAATATGTATTTAGAATTGTTGGATTAAAAGGGGTTTCTGATTTGTTAAAAAACATGAATCAAATGACTCCAATTTGTTAAAGTTTTTTGGTTTTGGTTTCTATTGAAAACATGAAAAACTGAGAGGGAAATTTCGATATAAAGTATTAAGTTTAATTGTGATTTAAATTTTTTTTATGCTGTTGGTGGATGAACCCATGTGTTGGTCGAATTGATGGATGTAAAAAATAAATATGGCAAGGTGTAAATAGTTGAGGTTTATGGTATTTTGCAACTTTTCAGTTGGTTTGTTAATGTATGTGCTGTTGTAATCTGTTTCTTCATTTCTTTTAGATTATTAATCTGTTTCTACATTTCTTTGTTGATGATTTCTATTATTACCAATTGTCCATCTTTGCCAAGTAGGTTTTTGTGAAGAGTTATTATGATTAACTTCCTTTCTACAATTTTTGTCTTCTATTATTTTCTATTATGTAATTAAAATATCATGTCCTGCTGAAAAAATGATGTCACTGTTGATGACCCGCAACATCGTGCGGGCATTACTGCTAGTGTGTTTCTGTACATTTGGTTTTCCTGTGTCTTTACTTCATGGCACAAGAATATATTCACTTTTATTAGTCCAAGTGGTGATTCGTTTCAAATGCAAGAAAGGATTAGTTTCTAATGTTATATTTTTATGGTTCAAAAAGTGTATAGATGTCGCAGTTGATCACTCGTCGTCGGAGTGTGACCAATGCGTCTCCTGCATTATCAGCATCTACTGCTTCACCCGTGAGTGCTCCATTGATTCAAGAGCCTACACCCCTTGCTGAGGCTACTTCTACGGCGTCTCAGGTGCCCGTCTCATCGACATCATCAGTGTCAGTTCAGCCGCTCAGTGCACGGCGGCCTCACCGGCGCCGCCGTGAGCCGGAGCCTTCTGATCACACTTCCTCGGCATCCAGAGTCGAGGGTGAGGCCTCCCAACCAGGTACATTTTTTTCTAATTCTCACTACGTTGTATTTTTTTTTCATTTTAAAACTATTATTTTTAAGGAAAACTAATGAAAAGGGTTTGAAAACTTTGAGTTTTAATGATAAGGACAAAATAAAAGGTAAAGTGAATAGTACCAGGTTTGACTTTTTAGTGTAAAAATGTGGTTTTTCGTTAAAATGAACAGTACTATGAGCTTTTCGTTAAAACTCCCTTT